ATCAGACTTTGTTTGTGCAAACGGGAGCAAATTTAATGTTGTCAAAAACGGCCAAAATAAGGTCACATTTTTCCGCTCCACTGCTCGAACAATGTTTCACTGATCAAAAATCCCTGAGGTCATTTTGAAGGTACATGTGTTGAGATGATGTGGAGCGATTTTGAGGCGAATCGGTGAAACGGCCGAGGAGGAGTCGCTTTCCAAGCGACATGTATGAAAATGATTGGTTTTCATGTTTCCATTTTGCAATGAAATTTATGAGCTTCCTGTTTGTCAGAGGGCTTAGCCATAATTACATTTTTTCCATGTCTTGACTTCAGGAACATGTGTACCAAATTACATGGTTCTACGGCAATTTTGACCTTGAACCCCTCCCATAGGCATTTTTAAATTGGCTGTTGTAGGTGGCGCTATAGAGCCAATTTCAAAATTTGAACTTTCAATTGACCTAGACTCAAGAGTTGAACCATGGATTCAAGTTTTGTGCCAATCACACTTTGTTTGTGCAAACGGAAAAAAATATTCTATTGTCAAAAACTGAAAAAAAATACGCCACTTTTTGGCGCTCTGCTGCTCAAACAACGTTTCACTGATCAAAATTCCCTGAAGTCATTTTGATGGAACATATGTTGAGATGATGTGGAGCGATTTTGAGGCGAATCGGTGAAACGGCCGAGGCTGGTTTGATGTTTGTGTGAGGTGTACATTTGCAATGAATGGGGAGCGTTTGTCGTCGCCACGGCAACTGGGTTAAAAATAAGCCTTGGACCTAATTGACTTTTTGAATCAAGAGGGCAAAACAGATGTATGTGCAAAATTTCAAACATTTTGAAAAAACTAAATTTGAAAATGCCTATCTAAAACTTTGAAATAGTCTGTAGGGGGCGCTAATGTGTCAATTTGAATACATTCACTTTCAAATGACCTAGACCCTAGAGTTGAACAATGTATTAAAGTTTTGTGCAAATCAGACTTTGTATGTGCAAACGGGAGCAAATTTAATGTTGTCAAAAACGGACAAAAAAAGGTCACATTTTGCCGCTCCGCTGCTCGAACAATGTTTCACTGATCAAAAATCCCTGAGGTCATTTTGAAGGTACATGTGTTGAGATGATGTGGAGCGATTTTGAGGCGAATCGGTGAAACGGCCGAGGAGGAGTTGCTTTCCAACCGACATGTATGAAAACTTTTGCTGTTCATTTTTCCATTTTGCAGTGAAATTTATGGGCTTCCTGTTTGTCAGAGGGCGGGGCCATAATAATATTTTTTTCTTGTCTTGACTTGAGGAACATGTGTACCAAATCTCATGTTTCTACGACAATTTTGACCTCCGAAAAGTCCCATAGGGGTATTATTTTGGCTGTTGTAGGTGGCGCTGTTCTGTCATTTTTTGAGTCCCATAAAAATAAACACCAAAATATCAAATTTTTCGCCAGGTCTGATTTTTGGGCCAAAATTAACAACTTTTCATGCATGTTCAGGGGGTCAAATTAAGGCTCAAAGTGCAGAAGAAAAAAGAAAGAAATAAATAAATAAATAAAAAAGGAATTTTTTTGTTAACGTCTCGAGCAAAAACAATATAGGTTTCAATGGCATGTGATACATCATTTTAAAGCTTTTGAGTTTACGCACGCAACCGTCACGTTTTGGTGAGTGACGGGCGCTGACGCGTCCGTCACGCACCGCCACCATTTGTTTTCACCATTGTGAAAGCAATAGGCCCTTACCCCGTTCGGGGCTCGGGCCTAACTAGACCCTAGAGTTCAACAATGTATTAAAGTTTTGTACAAATCAGACTTTGTTTGTTCAAACGGGAGCAAATTTAATGTTGTCAAAAACGGCCAAAAAAAGGTCACATTTTGCCGCTCCGCTGCTCAAACAATGTTTCACTGATCAAAAATCCCTGAGGTCATTTTGAAGGTACATGTGTTGAGATGATGTGGAGCGAATTTGAGGCGAATCGGTGAAACGGCCGAGGAGGAGTCGCTTTCCAACCGACATGTATGAAAACTTTTGCTGTTCATTTTTCCATTTTGCAGTGAAATTTATGGGCTTCCTGTTTGTCAGAGGGCGGGGCCATAATAATATTTTTGGGCCAAAATTAACAACTTTTCATGCATGTTCAGGGGGTCAAATTAAGGCTCAAAGTGCAGAAGAAAAAAGAAAGAAAGAAAGAAAGAAATAAATTAAAGCCGCAAGCGGCGTCGAACGGCCCTCGCCGCACCGCGCGACTCCCTGCACCGCGCGCACTCCCCGCACCACGCCGCCCTGCACACCAGCCGTCCCGCACCACGCCGTCCCGCACCACGCCGTCCCGCACCACGCCGTCCCGCACCACGCCGTCCCGTACCAAGCCGCAACGCGCCGCTCCACAACGCCCCGCACTACGCCGCACCACACCGTACCACGCAGCACCGCTCAAAGGAGGTGGCGCCGCCGTGTGATGATTTGTTCCCGTAGTCATAGAAGATTGTTAGTCAAATTTGAATGAATATGATAAGTAGAGCTGGTTTGGCTCCCGATGTAAACTTTGGCTCAGTCTTTAGGGGGCGCTAATGGGCCAATTTCAAATATTTCACTTTCACCTGACCTAAACCCTGGAGTTGAACAATGGATTCAAGTTTAATGCAAATCAGACTTTGTTTGTGCAAACGGGAAAAAATTAATGTTGTCAAAAACGGCCAAAAAAACCCTCACATTTTGCCGCTTCGCTGCTCAAACAACGTTTCACTGATCAAAATTCCCTGAAGTCATTTTGAAGGTAAATGTGTTGAGATGATTTGGAACAATTTTGAGGCCAATCGGTGAAACGGCCGAGGAGGAGTCGCTTTCCAACCGACATGTATGAAAATGATTATTTTTCATTTTTCCATTTTGCAGTGAAATTTATGGGCTTTCTGTTTGTCAGAGGGCTTAGCCATAATAAAACAAGTTCAATGTCTTGACTTGAGGAACATGTGTTCCAAATTACATGGTTCTATGACAATTTTGACCTCGAACCCCTCCCATAGGCATTTTTAAATCGGCTGTTGTAGGTGGCGCTATAGAGCCAATTTCAAAATTTTAACTTTCAAATGACCTAGACCCAAGAGTTGAACCATGGATTTAAGTTTTGTGCAAATCAGACTTTGTTTGTCCAAACGGAAGCCATTTTTCTATTGTCAAAAACTGAAAAAAAATACGCCACTATTTGCCGCTCCGCTGCTCAAACAACGTTTCACTGATCATAAATCCCTGAGGTCATTTTGACGGTACATGTGTTGAGATGATGTGGAGCGATTTTGAGGCGAATAGGTGAAACGGCCGAGGCTAGTTTGATGTTTGTGTGAGGTGTACATTTGCAATGAATCTGGAGCGTTTGTCGTCGCCACGGCAACAGGGTAAAAAATAAGCCTTGGACCCTATTGACTTTTTGAATCAAGAGTGCAAAACAGATTTATGTGCAAAATTTCAAACATTTTGAAAAAACGTAAATTTGAAAATGCCCATCTAAAACTTTGAAATAGTCTGTAGGGGGCGCTAATGTGTCAATGTGAATCATTTAACTTTCAAATGACCTAGACCCTAAAGTTGAACAATGTATTAAAGTTTTGTGCAAATCAGACTTTGTTTGTGCAAACGGGAGCAAATTTAATGTTGTCAAAAACGGCCAAAAAATACATCATTTTAAAGCTTTTGAGTTTACGCACGCAACCGTCACGTTTTGGTGAGTGACGGGCGCTGACGCGTCCGTCACGCACCGCCACCATTTGTTTTCACCATTGTGAAAGCAATAGGCCCTTACCCCGTTCGGGGCTCGGGCCTAATAAATAAAAAAGGAATTTTTTGTGACTTGTCTCGAGCAAAAACAATATAGGTTTCAATGGCATGTGATTCATCATTTTAAAGCGTTTGAGTTTACGCACGCAACTGTCACGTTTTGGTGAGTGACGGGCGCTGACGCGTCCGTCACGCACCGCCACCATTTGTTTTCACCATTGTGAAAGCAATAGGCCCTTACCCCGTTCGGGGCTCGGGCCTAATAAATAAATAAATAAAAAAGGAATTTTTTGTGACTTGTCTCGAGCAAAAACAATATAGGTTTCAATGGCATGTGATTCATCATTTTAAAGCTTTTGAGTTTACGCACGCAACCGTCACGTTTTGGTGAGTGACGGGCGCTGACGCGTCCGTCACGCACCGCCACCATTTGTTTTCACCATTGTGAAAGCAATAGGCCCTTACCCCGTTCGGGGCTCGGGCCTAATAAATAAATAAAAAAGGAATTTTTTTTTTCGACGTCTCGAGCAAAAACAATATAGGTTTCAATGGCACGTGATACATCATTTTAAAGCTTTTGAGTTAACGCACGCAACCGTCACGTTTTGGTGAGTGACGGGCGCTGACGCGTCCGTCACGCACCGCCACCATTTGTTTTCACCATTGTGAAAGCAATAGGCCCTTACCCCGTTCGGGGCTCGGGCCTAATAAATAAAAAAGGAATTTTTTGTGACTTGTCTCGAGCAAAAACAATATAGGTTTCAATGGCATGTGATTCATCATTTTAAAGCGTTTGAGTTTACGCACGCAACCGTCACGTTTTGGTGAGTGACGGGCGCTGACGCGTCCGTCACGCACCGCCACCATTTGTTTTCACCATTGTGAAAGCAATAGGCCCTTACCCCGTTCGGGGCTCGGGCCTAAAAAGGAATTTTTTTTTTAACGTCTCGAGCAAAAACAATATAGGTTTCAATGGCATGTGATACATCATTTTAAAGCTTTTGAGTTTACGCACGCAACTGTCACATTTTGGTGAGTGACGGGCGCTGACGCGTCCGTCACGCACCGCCACCATTTGTTTTCACCATTGTGAAAGCAATAGGCCCTTACCCCGTTCGGGGCTCGGGCCTAAATATGGATTAGCCGTTTGAAAGCAAATATCTAGATACTGTCTGTGTTGTATTGAATAAATCTTAAGTTGTCCAACACTGTATTTAAAACTCTATATTCTCTTTTTTCAGATCGGTTTCATCAAACCTCACCCCCTCCTCATCCAACTGCAGCAGGACGCCATGGAGACCCATTTGACATTTGACTCTTACATCATCCCCATGCTCTGTCCTCCTGTGCCCTGGACTTCAGTCAAATTCGGGGCCTATCTTTTGACCCCTACAAAACTGATGCGCACTGTGGACGGAGCCACCCAGCACGAGGATTTGCTGGAGAAGAACCAGAACTTGGAGCCGGTCATGGACTCTCTCAACCAGCTTGGCAATTGTGCGTGGAAAGTCAATAAACCACTTTTGGATATTATCATTACAATTTTCAACGACAAAGGCAGTGACAAATTGGATATCCCTCCCCCAATGTCAGAGGCCCCGAAAATACCTCATTTTAATTCTCACGATCCGTCAATCACAGCCAGTGAGAAGGCCCAACTAAAAAAGGAGGTAATTTTTGCTAAAAAGAAATGCGGCGAAATGCACAGTTTACGCATGGATGCACTTTATAAGCTCTCGATTGCAAACCACATGAGAGATGAGATTTTTTGGTTCCCACACAGCATGGACTTTAGAGGCCGGACGTACCCCTGTCCACCTTATTTTAACCACTTGGGCAGCGACCTGACACGGGCCATCCTCTTGTTTGCCGAAGGGAAGCCCCTGGGTCCCAAGGGACTCGACTGGTTAAAGATTCACTTGGTCAATTTGACAGGTCTGAAGAAGAGAGACTCACTGCAGGGACGGCTGGAGTACGCCAACTCCATTATGGACGATATTCTGGACTCTGCTGACAATCCACTTAATGTGAGTACTTTACTAGGACCTCATTTTATAAATTCGAAAATTCCTCTTGATCTCATGGAATGTAGGTCTTTTCTCACCCCACTGTGTCTATCCTGGCAAAAAGTGATTTTGGAAACAATATATTTTCAATGATATGGGTAATAGATATATTTGTTTTTGTTCACCCATCTTTTTCTGTTTACTTTTATACTATATTGTGCCTGTACAGATATTTGTTTTCTGAATTGAACCCATCCTTTGTCTAACTGCCTTGTTTGTGTTCAGGGCAGGAACTGGTGGATGAATGCAGATGAGCCGTGGCAGGCTCTGGCGTGCTGTATGGAAATAGCCAAAGCAATGAGATCACCGGATCCTCTGCTCTTTATTTCACATTTTCCTGTTCACCAGGTAACTTTGCCTCTATTTTTCTGCTGCAACGTGGTTCATTTACCTGATAATAAAGCTGGATTTAACATGATTTACAAAGGAATTTGTTTAATTAAATCTACTGACTCCACGGAAAAAATGTAGAATGATAGAGTAGGATGATTTGTCATTATTTGCCCTCAATTCTCAACCCCCATTAACTAGATGCAAACATCTTCTAGCCATTTCCAAATGTGAAAGTAATTCAAAAGGAATTATTAATATCCTAATTGTCTTGTACCTATGACCAAACATTTGAAATGAATGTTTTTGTTGAACTGTTTCCATGCAGCTGTTGCACTTTGCGTTAACTTTGCGTCTCCTTGACCATTATTATTCATGCACTCTAACCCTTATGTCAGATATGATATTGCATCTTCCTTTGCACATTCCATTTGAAGATTTTCTGATCAAAATCTGGTGTTGATTTCGTCTTAATTACAAACACAATGGGCACAATGGCCACATTAATTATGTGTATTTTAAGTCTGAAAACCCAAACCCTGCATATCCCAATCCTTTGTACAGCCTGCCAGACCAAGAAAGAGGACAAAAATGTTTACACCAAACTTCATCTCATATTATTTAGATGACATTTTAAGTTTTGACTATCCATTCAGTTGTCCAATTGTGTTGCCCGTTTCTTAGATGAAATCAAGCTGCTTTGGTTACTGCCTTTGTGAGATTTCATAACACTTTTAAGCAACTTTTGTTAAAGTTAAACTCATCATTCTATCAATGTGCAGAAGCCAGTACTTTTCCCTTGTTTTGTCTATCTGAAGGCCAAGCTACATGGCACCGTGGCAGCTGCTGATTAGAGGTCTCCATGCCTCCGCTCTGTATAATACACTTGCATTCTGTTGTATCTGTGTTCGTGCTGTCTCTACCATCGGCAATAAAACATGTCTTCTGTCTGAATTAAAGACGCGATCCCAGACTTTGTCATCTTCTTCACCTTAACCGAAGCAACTTTAGTAAAATGTTATAGAACTGGAGAAGCTGCTACATATGTGCATTTTTATCAAACTGCGCAAATTTCTGATGTTGTGTAAGAGTGAAAAAGCAACATACTGTTTCTTTTAATCTACGACAAAAGAACAACAGGCACTCCTCATATCCTCTTTTCTCCTGCTCTGCTGTAGGATGGCTCTTGTAATGGGCTACAGCACTACGCCGCTCTGGGCAGAGACGTTATTGGTGCCACATCTGTCAACCTCATGCCCTGTGATCTGCCCCAAGACGTCTACAGCGGAGTAGCACAGCAGGTCAGAGCTACACCACTCTTCAATTCATGCAAGACCTTTGTTGTGTTCATTTCGGCCATTTTGAGAATATTTACTTTAGAATTTAACTGGTGTCTTATACTGGCGCAGATGTTGTAAAATATATTGGTTCTAAGCCAATATTCTAAAGTTTGTCTCTATCTCAAGTCTCTATTTGTAACATGGTTAAAGGGATGAAAAATATGATTTAGCATGGGTACCCGTGACCCGACAACGGATGAAGCGGAAGAAAATGGATGGATGGATTGATGGATGGATGGCTTATAGACAGGCATTTTCCAGATCCGGTTAATGAGACCCATGATAGTGGTATCCGTTTATTTAATGAATCTTTTCTGTGATGAATCATCTTACTGAGCAGAAGTTTTCCAGTGGAGAAAAAGGCATTTAAAATATGTTAACTTATTATAGATTGCAGTCCCGTCACATGCCTGTTGTTATTGATAACTGGAATGCAAATTGCGGAGGAGTGCAAGCTTCTTCCTTAAACCTTGCAAATGACACATTCCCCAATCTTACTGTGAGAATATTTCATCCATGGGTAAAGAGTAACTCAGTTCCTTTCCTCTAATAATAAGCTTATATCATAAAACACATATTTTACATTCTGACGCTTTTATAGAACACAATTGTATAGACTGTTTTTGTGGACTGTGTTTTGAATATACTGGTAATTGGTTTAGTTGTTATGCCTCACACCACAGTCTCTAAGTTAGATGTTTCTTCATATCTAAAGGCTCAGAGGGCAAGGGTGCACACCGCAATCAAGTTGGTGTACGTGCAGGGAACTACCCTATTATTGGACTAAACATTGAGAATGTGTGTGATAAAAGTGATAAAACTACATCCACCCTCCACAGCATGAGAGGAATGTAAATCTGCTCATTTAAATACAAGTCTTCTACATGATTTATTAGGTCTGTTATCAAATGCAAAGTTACACTCTGGCTGATGACTTTGGCCTAAAACTGTGCTTACTGAATCAATTTCAAACTAAACTGAAATTGGACCTGAACAAAAAGCACTGTCGTTTTCTATGTTTGAATCTGCATTGTGTGTAAATTAGATCCATGCCAAATAATGTGATGGTGACAGGGCAAGGAGTAGCCTGGCCTTATCCATCCGTTGTGGGTGACGTCAAGAGTTTGTGTCGAACGGGAATGTTGTAGTTCGGTAATGGCAAAAAATGCGATAGTAAAGTAATCCGGTCTGGTTCTATCAAGAAACTGAAGCCGGAGCAAGAGGAATGTTTTGCATATGTATTCGCTTGAAAAACTGTGGCGCTACACCCCATGAGCTCTGTTAGCGGCAAAGGAGACGGCTATGCTAAATGCTAAATGCTAACAACAGACTCGGGCGCATTACATACATCACGGTAAACTCAGATCCAATCGTTTCAATCTGCAAAAGGAGTTAACCCCTCCCACCTGTTAACGGAGTCAATGGAGCACCTCCAGACCTTAGTACGAAATGCAATTTATACTATGGTATGGTACGACCAGGCTAGGCAAGGAGCAGAAGAGAGAGAAAACAACAGTTGCCTTTACTTCTTCACTCTTATGCATTTCACTAAGATTTAATATTTTATGATTAAACCATTTTTATATTATTTCTCATACTAGCCCCTTCTCCTCCAAGATACTTTTAATTCATTTATATCGGATTCTAAACCATGGAAAGTAAATATTTTCCAACATACTATTTGAATAAAACACAAGATGCCTACATTTCAAATTTCTACCTTACTATGTAATAAAACCCATATTACAAACTCCTTTCTCTGCTAACAATTTGATTCTATCACTAAAATATACATATACATATACTAAATATACAATATCAAACGAAAAAGTGAAAAAGAGAGAACCACCTCGTCTCAGCTAATCAGCCCCGTTCCACAATGAGTTGGGGCATATGAAAAAAAAATCCGCAAACAGGGGGTTCTGGGTACACGGATTTTGGGAACCACTGATTTACAGTATCTCCACAAAACCATACAGTTTAAGTAACTGAAATTCAAGCCGGATAAGATAAGATAAGATGTGGTTTATTTATCTCACAGAGGAGAAATTTACATGTCACATTTGGCATGGATAGAGACACTCAGATTGTGCAAAAGGAGGAAATGTGCAAACATGTTACATGCAGGATATATGTACAATAAAAGTGACAATAATTATGTACAACAAAAGTGACAAGTGTCAATTGGAAACAGTGTCAATAGTAGTGCAGGTTTTCACAAAGTGATCATTTAAAGTAACTTATTGTACAGTCTGACAGCGGTGGGAATAAAGGCCCTGCGGTAGCGCTCCTTCCTACACTGAGGGTGTCTCAGTCGCCCACTGCTCAGGCAAACTGCTCACCTTCACTGACAGTCCTGACAATTATTTTTCGCGTCCGTCTTTCCAGGTGGAGGAGCTGAGGGCGCGGGACGCAGAGAAGGGCCTGAAGATCGCACAGGTCCTTGAGGGCTTCATCAGCCGGAAGGTGGTCAAACAGACTGTGATGACTGTGGTGTACGGGGTCACACGCTACGGGGGACGCCTGCAGATTGAGAAGAGGTTGAAGGAGATTGATGACTTCCCCAAGGTACAGAGAGAGGGAGGAAAAAGAGGAGAAAAGGTTCCTGGAAAGTTTTATTTTTAGCATAACCAGACGGAGATGCCTTTTGTACAGGATTGGAACCACATGATCTCCCTGTCACACCTTATTATGTGTTCCTGCCATATTGTTAGTGTAAATATTTTTGACACTGATTTATCATAGCTTCTTTATCGTAGCTACTTCCTCTACCATGTTGTTGTTTTATCATGTTACATCAATGTAGCTCCTCAGTCACAGACCTGGAGTTGTTTTTAGATCCATCCACACTAATATCAGAAACTCTGGCACAATAATGCAACTCTGCCCCTTCTGTCTAAAATCTCCTGTCCTGTGATAGTACCATGTCATCGTACCACTGTGACGTCACACTTGGTCATTTTCTTTACAATCACAATTTTAAAATTTGGGGAAAAAACTTAATAAATTGTAATCTTTCTTCTGGTGGTAGCATAAGGAGGACACATGTTTTCATACATGTTTTACCATATATTATTACCAGAGATAATATTTCACATACTAACAGGAAGCAAGTAAATACCTTCAGTCTCATTATAATTTTATGGTCAAAAATGAAGCATAACATCTTAAAAGAAGCATGTTTCTGTGCAGCTCATATTTCTTTTACAATTTCACTTTACATTTTCCTTTAGAGTCTGACATTATCCTCGAAAGGTAAATTTCAAGTACAACCAGCTTTTAAGATAGTCGAGTAGGATTTATATTTACAGGTAAAATGAACCTTTTTTCTCATGAATATTATTATCTATCACTTTGTGTGATTTGCATCCAGTGATTTCAAAGACTCGATCTATCTAAATTTTTCATACAAGGTATACATACATACATACTGTACAAGTTAATGCACTTTAATGTCAAACTTGTCCTGCACAAACTTGCAATATGTTCTAAAGCTATGTTTCCTTTCAGGAGCATGTGTGGGATGCCTCTCATTATCTGGTCCGGCTCGTCTTCAGCGGCTTAAAAGAAATGTTTACGGGCACAAGAGAAATCCAGGTTTGGGTTTATTTCGAGTCACAAACACTTTCTTTAGCCATGTTTCTCCATTTACATGACTTTGTACAATACTTTCCACTCCTGACCCAGTCCTGGATGAAGGCAAGGATTTATTTTTATTAATGACTTTTGGTCCCCACTATTACCTTGGCCTGGTCTCTATATGATGAATGAAAGTCCATTTATAGATTGTGGATTTGCAGCTGGTGTGGGACAGCTAATAAAAGCACCACCCACTGGCAGTGTGTGTGCCCTTTGGGGACTGTTATGGGATGGCCCGGTCTGGAATGAAAAATCCCCGTCCCAGCACACCTGTAGTGATCATACATGTGTGCACCTGCTGCAGTAAAATGGGTCATTCATGCACGCTCATTCATGCACGCTCATTCATGCACGCTCATTCATGCACGCTCACTGGGATCCCATCTCCACCGCATACAACTAAAGAAAGTTTCTAAAGCCCCATTCATATAAACGTACCATCAAACACCACAACATGCACAGGGACCATTGACTGGGGGCCCACATTCACATATAGCTGTTCTTGAATGTTTACTCACTCAGGCAGAATTTCTGTATAATGATTACTATATTATTATAATTATCATAAAGTCACAGTGAGTGAACCAGGCAATGTTATTTTTTTCTATTTAACAGTTCAGTTTAAAGTTTATGATTTGGACCCAATGATTTGGACCCAAGACCAGAGAGTTTTGTCCACATTTCTTCTGCCTTACACCCTTCTTATCTCCTGTATTGATCGCAGCAGTCTGTCAGTCCAAGCCATCTATCTAGTTAATCTCTCAGTGGCATTGCTTGCTTTCCGGCTACCTTCATCTCTTTGTGCCTGGTATTGGGCTGGCGTCTACAGCTGTGATGAATGGTCTTACTGCGGTCCAGGCTGTTACATTGCTTTGCTGGGGCATATATTTGTCTTCACAACAGCTCATTGTGTAGAAATATTCTTCTTGTGGGACTTTCATTCACATAAAACGGTGCCAGATACAAACAGCCCTTCTAAGTTAATGTAGCATGTATCAGCTTCTGCTTTTTGAGTTCATTACGAAACAAAGCCCTGTTTGTAGAGCCGTTTCTGTCGTGACCGAGTTCTGGCCAGTAAAACACAACACATTTTAATAGCTTGATTTACTGAATGTTTAACCCAGTGGTAGGAACATGACGAGCAGAGATGTCTCAAATACATGTCCTTGTTTGAACATCCTAGCTATACACTTGTCTATGCTCCAGGACTGGCTGACGGAGAGCGCCCGGCTTATTTCCAAGTCCGGACATACGGTGGAGTGGGTGACCCCCCTTGGATTACCCATAATTCAACCATACCATCGAAAACGCAATTACTTGGTAAGTAGAGTATAGATCAAGCGAGTTCATTCATTATTCACATCACTGTTACCCATTGAAGACGGGGTAACTGTCTGTATCAGAAACATTATTGTTGTGTAAAAGTAAAATGTGGTGAACCAATCAGACTACGCCATACTGTCTTCATCTTTTTAGAAAACATAATGGACCTCATTTATGCGTGAAGTGTGCGTATGGGGAAAGTGAAAAGCTCAATGTATCCGTTTAGGTCCGTTTAGGTACATTCAGATGGGTGGAGGTGTCGACCCTTAATATTTCATTAGTTAGTAGTTTGCACTGCATATTTACTCATCCATCCATCCATCCATTTTCTACCCTTTAATCCATTTCTGGGTCAGGGGGGTGGCAGTCAGAGATGCCACCCAAGTCTCATAGCACCAGCCCCTCACTGACCCTCTGCAGGTGGTGAGTCCACAGAAGGGCGGCTGCTCTCTGAGTGTGAGCATAGCCTTGATCTTTCAGTGGGGGCTTTGGGCAAAGTGGGGTTAAGTGTCTTGCCCAAGGACACAATGACAGCAGTCATCAGTGGGAGTCGGTGGAGAAGGTGTAGAGGTGGGAATTGAACCCACAACCTTCTAGCCTTAAGGCCAATGCTCTACCAACTGAGCTACTGTCACCATCATATTTACTCAAACACACTTAATTTCCTCATTTATATTTAGCATTAATCTATAATACCACACACAGCACATCATTAGCAGGAGCATCAGCACAGAGATAACGGTCAAACACTCACCAGTGAAGATCTGGTCCTTGGTTCTCATGGTTCAGGGGAAAATGGGGATGGCAAATAGATATATAAAGAAACAAACTTAATCAGAAATAACAAAATAGATTTAAAAAAATACACTTTTGTAATCTTTGGATCAGCTTTTACAGACAGACCACCCTCACTCAGCCAAGCAGTCCCTCTGCCAAATGCAATGATAAAAAACTCTTATAGCCATCGGTCCATCGGGGCAGATGACCAATGTCCATTATTGTTGATAAATGTCCATAAATGTTTTTGAAGTTTCGAGTGTCCTAGATCATCACCACTGTCCTTAGACCCTCCTGCATCGGCAAGGAAAAACTGTAATGAAAAAAATCTAGCCACAGTAGCCATTGTTAACCTAACCGGTATGCGTGCCAAGTCCGCGGAAGCTAAAGCTTGCCAGCAGCGGTTCACGGACAACAGGGCTCACATGCACCAGTCCTCAAAGGGACTCATGCGCAACAATCTAGTGACTTGCCTCTCAATATATTTAGTGTGTAGTGAGGGGTTTTTCCTTGAAACAGAATAAAAACTTCAGCCTTCATTCACATGCCAGAAGTCGTTTTTTCATCGATCCCTTCAAGCTTTTGTTACAAAGCGACCTTTCTCTTTCATTCTCGAGAGGCAGCAAAAAGCCTCGGTTCTTTTTGTGACGTGGCACCAAGCTCTAGGAGGTGCTCAGCAGTGATTGACAGGAGAGAAATCAAAACAAACACGCCCATGAACGTGCCTGAGCATGCGCATTCACCCTCTCTCCCGAGTCCCGCAAGTACCAGTCTGTTTGCTTCACAGTTCGCATCAAGTCTAGTTGGAGAGAATGAGTTTTCGAGTGTAAAATATGTGACGACGCCATGTGGCTTTCCCAAAAAAGTTTGTTCTGAGGTTTGATGTGCCGCTATGTATCCGAACCTCCACGCTGTGTATTTACCACAAAGTCAGCGTGAGGCTACGTCACCGAGTGGGAGGGAGGAGGCGAGCTGTGGTCCGGGCTACATCTCCACGCTGGTGGGGGGGTGGGAGGTGGGCTCACAGGTAAAGGTGATCCACAGGCACCACTAATGTACCAGGCGTTAGCAGTTTTTACCTCTACCCACTCATGTGTCCTTGCTCGGCCAGAAAGTTTTCAGATTATATATTATAGTATTTAACAGGTCAATAGGGTTTTTTCTTTTCCCAGATTGTCTGGAACGCATTTGGAAACTTGTGATGGAACCTAACTGTTTTAGAGCAAGGAAATGGTTGAAAAAGTTTTTTACCGATTGCGCCAGTCACACAGAAGTGGTGATCATTTCTTGGTATTTTTGGACGGCATATATATGTATATTTTATCCCTACAGGCTGCTGCATAAGTGAAAGACAGCATATGCTTCATGCTGATGGTCTATGGGGCTATAGGCCACCCTGCATGCAGCCATCTTTTTGGTTTGACATCAAGCACAAGCCTGGCATGAGAGGGCAGCCATGCACCTCGTAAACTGGCTGACAGATGGCCGTGTCCCCTGGGGCTCCTCTTTCTCCCAGTGTGGAGAGCAGCGCATGATGTGATCCCATCTTTCCTCAATGTCCTGGGATGTGTGGCGCTGATTAGCCTTTGCCATTTTCCACATCCCTGGGTGAGTGAGTAAGTGAATAAAGTGTTGACATCCTGGGACGGTGCAAAGGTTTTAGCTCCTGTTTCACAGATAAGTTTCTTCATCTCCAGCTTTAATTCCTTAATCCAGTTGCATCACTAGGCAACAAAAATCAAAGTAAATTGCACAAAGGTCACCTCCTTTATGGTATTGTAGGATTAAACCCAATCTCCCAGTCTCCTCTCAGCCTCTTAAAGTCAAGGTTGGGATTTGGAGGGGTCATTAATAATTATACACAGAAACTGAGGTCAATACTTCTGACACGCTGTTCAGTGTAGCTCAAGTAGAGGAGGGAAATTGCCAAAAAATGCTTGAACCTATTGCTGAGGTGAAAATAAATCTCTGTGGTTGTTTATTTCTTTTTTTCATATCTAATTTATCTGATGTAATAAAATAGAGCATAATGAGCAACTATTGTTACTGGGAGTGTAATCTTAATCTAATCTTTTTTTTTACTGAAACTTGGAAATATTTCTTATTGAATTATATCATAGTTTGATGGCTACTTTGTATTTAAATTATTCCCTTTATGAACGGTTGCATACCTTGTGGCTTTGTGCTGCATACCGCCCGGTGTGTCTGAATACAGGCTGCAGGTGGACTGCTGGCCCGGAGGTCACTGTCACTCCTGTTTGTTTATTTTTCATCTCTGACTCTAGCTCTGGCAAGGTGACGCTGAAATCTCATTGTCGGTAAAGCGTGGCACCAGGGACTCATCAGTTGGATTGGCTGGATTTGAGTGGATTTAGAGTTTAGTGTGACTAAACGCCCCTGATCTAATGTCCTCCAGTGTGGAAAGAAAGTATCACGTAATCACAGGCTTTGTGCTGCCCACCAATGATTTCCCCAGAGTATGCTAAATTATCCTAAATACTACAAACCATACAGTCTATAGTTTGGCCTCTGGTGATTTCCCGGGAGTCTAGGTAAATTATACTTAACAGACATCAGCATGGTCTATTGTGCACCAAAAAACTCAATTCTGAGGCAAAACAGAAATCTGAAACGGCAGATAAATGCACAATATTTAAACTTTATCTCAAAATATCCAAAAGCAGTCAATTATATTTGTGAGTGGAGAGACCGCATGAAGCTTTTTTGCAAGAAATTTAGACTATAGTGTGCGTGAAACCATGGAGAGTGTTCAAGCAGCCACTTTGTCATAACCCTAACCCTTTAACCCTATTCTCATAATCTTATGCGAATGAACTAAAAAAAGAGAAAATATTTTGACTTTTTCTGATGTTGTCTTTAAAGTCAAAATAATATACATTACTTAATTTTGTAGCTATGTTTTTATTTATTTTTACTTATTTTATTTGTACTTAAAGTGGGAAAAACTGAACTGAGAGTGATATAGTTCAAAATTAAACGCATCAAATTAAAATGACCAATAATAGTCAAACACAAAGTGAGATGGAAGAAAAGTAGTATACAGGTGAAAAACACGCTGTCTGATGCAAAAAAAATGCACTGTTTTGTTACAAGATTTCCCAACACACACGTCGTTATTCTTCCAAAACCGCAATGCTAATATCTCGATAAGGGATAGGGATTGGCTGTCAACTTTGTGATAGATTGTGATTCCCTTTTGTAGCGTGTACATACGATTTGAGGTGGCCATCATGAAGAAGGCCATGTGCGCCGAGTCCCAGATGATTTAGTGAAGCCTCAGCCAGTTTTCTACAATCTCGGCACAGGGTTAGTCCTGGCTCCATCCATCAAAATCCCCCCACTTCTGTGAACAAGAACTCAGATGGCCCAACGTGACTCCACTGACCTGATTCACTATGTGCACGGCACGTCGATTTGTCACGAGGGGTAACCTCCATATACAGTATGTGACCGTCACATCTCTGCCTTTATAACCTGTCTCCATGTACTCCGAGAGTTGCACAAAAATAAGATGGATGGGCAGAGTCCCAAAGAGCTTCTATCACCAGTGATGGATGTGATGGCCCCTGTGACAGAAACTTCTACTACATGATGATTTTAGTATTTCATGATCAGCGTCACTCTGAAGGTCATGACACAATGAATCACAGACCGCAAAGCACAAAAGCTTGCATTTGTTGCTTGTCTGCTGTAACAACAAGTATATCAATTATGTTAGCAGGAAGAAGCCTTCATGAACCCATATAACCCTCGCCAACCTGACTGAATGCTTTCAATTTTTACAAAGTGTGGTCAGAAATCCTGCATCTCAATATGATTGGAGCACTTAGTAAATCATTGTGAAATGATTGGATATGTTTTCTTTTTTCGACACATGAAATGAGTACATCAGGCCTTAAGCTATTGGAGAACTCAAGGGACCAATGAGCTGTCAGCTGGTCGCAACCAATCTGAAAGGTCTACATTCCAGGAATGAGAAATCAGCCTCATGTACTACTCTTTATGTCTTTGTTCTGAAATGCATTATATTGTTGTACTAGTGTTTGTGGTCTTTTGAACATAACATGACTGAACACAGGAAAGTGGGCTGAGCAGATGCCAGACTTGGATGCATTAGTGTAGAGTAAGTGGAAGGGAAACACATGAAAGCTATATAGGGGCAGAGTGGTGAGGACAGGCAGGTCCTGATGCCAGCGGTA